AGAACGAAATACTATACCAGGACAGCAAAATTAAGACAGAGTTATTAAACGAACAATATAAGTCAGTTTTTGCCAATGAAACGCGTCAAACCCATTACCACAGACTAAGGAATGAATTATCACAGTCAGTATTAGAAACATAAATATCGATTTTCTAAGAGTTGAAAAACTACTGCGAAACTTAAATACCAATGAAGCTGATGGACCAGACGACATTGCTAACAAAGTACTAAAACTGTGTTCAATTGAACTAGCCCCAGTAGTAAGTCATATATTCAAACTTAGTCTAGATTCAGGTGAACTTCCATAGGATTTGAGAAATGCAAACATTAACCCGATATTTTAAAAGAAAATAGACATACAGCGGCAAATTGTCGACCTGTATCGTGTTTTGTGTACTGTTGTTTGTCTGTTCTTCTTTTTCTTTTTCTTTTTAGCCATGGCGTTGTCGGTTTATTTTCGACTTATGAGTTTGAATGTCTCTCTGGTATCTTTCGCCTCTCTTTTACATATGAGCTGCGTCGGATAGAAATCGACCTTATGCAAGTGCACGTATACATGTACATGTATAAGACTTTTGATTGATATTGGGACATTCAAATACGAAATAAGAGATGGATTTTGGTCTGTTTTGTAGAGTTCTTATATCAACTCAATTTTCAAACAGTTAAACTCACGTCAGACTCTGCATAGAGATTTGTTCAACCCCAGAATATTTGCTGTAAACTTCTTGTACACATCCTGAACAACCTAGAGAGACATGATATACTTTGTATAAATGGCCTGACCATTAAGAATGTACAGCCAATAGGTGAAATTAAAAAAATCTAGAATTTAAAATTGACACTTTAAGTCAGATGAGCATTAGTTAAGGAACAAAATAAGCAAAAAATAGTGATAGGTTATGGAGCTCCTTTTCGAGATATTTGATTTATAAAAAAATGGCGGGAAAAGGCTGACTCGGACTTTTACCTTATATTTGCATTGGTATTATTTGGGTCTCAAATCGAAAGAAAAGAAATCTAGAATCTGTTTTAATTTTGGTAAATGACCTTTTATGAGCTATTGAAGACTTATATGAAAAGAAAAATGGGTGTTATGGGGGCAAAATATTTTATCCTGTATCGCAGAAAAAAAAACCAAGGGAGTCAGAACATCTGACAAAAAATCCTAAACCTGACATTAGTACATCCTTAAGTATAACCGATGACTGGGCTCAGGCAAAAAAGACTATCAGCTGCTGATATTTTAATCAAGAACCAATATAATAAATAGTAAAATGCTGAAAATACAAATAGAAATACATTTACAATGTGTTGAATTAATGTTACAAAATTAATGTACGAAATGACAAATATAAATAATTTAAGCACAGTCCATTGAACGTGAAATAAAGAACTTTGCAATTATAAATTTAAAGTTAAATTTCCACTTTATCACGGTTAAAAGTTCAAATATATTATGAGCAGTTTGAAGGCATCAAATACAAAGTTATTAATATAACTCACTCTGTAGTTAATCACACATTGTGTCTAAGATGACGTTTGTCCTAGAGTGTTCCTCGGTTCTGTAATGACCTTGAAGTTCAGTTCGAGATACATGTGAAAAAGGGAACAGATAACAGTAATGTCGATTGTTAAATGTTTTGCACAGGTTTAAAGATGCTAAGAAGCAAATTAATCTTATAATACTTGACTTTAGTAAGACATTCGAGACTGTGCCTCACTGAGAACTACAACATAAACTAAAACACTATAAATATTGATGGTAATACAAATGCAGGGGTTGAATCATTCCTAATGCAACATCATCAGCGAGTCTTTATAAAAGGAGAGTATTCTTCATCTTGCTATGTCGACTCAGGTGTGTCTCAAGGAATTGTGCTTGTGCCTCTTTTTCTTCTTTGTTATATAAATGACTTTCCGCTCTCTGTAAAATCACAAGAACGTTTGTTTGTCGATCACTGTCTTTTATACAACACAATAAAATCACTACAGGATCAACTTCTAATACAGAAAGACATACAACCACTGGGTAGATGGCAAAAGACTGGGGAATTAAGAGATAACTGTATTGTATTTGAAGCTTTGTGGACGTCCATCGGTAGTTTTACTGCCTACGCTACGCGTCGCCAGGTAAACTCAATTTGCGACAGTAAAACTACCGATGGACGTCCACAAAGCTTCAAATACAATACAGTTATCTCTATTCTAATGCAAAATAAACAAATCGTTGAATTTTAGTCATTATTTCAGTGTAAAATTTTCATTAAAAAAAAATTCCGCGAAATGATGTTATCTTCTTTGGTGCTTGAAATATGTGACGTCATAGGTAAGCTTCCGGCATCAATCGTAAACACCGGGCGTTTTCTGGCTTCTTGTCCGCTTCAGAATGGAATAAATTTTGATAAAAAGAAAATTTGTAGGTGCAAAATGTAAGTTTTTTTGCTTATTATTGGAGAAATTACATGTCAATACATTCCGGAATTCAAAATGTCGGCTTCCTTAGTTACAGACAAGGAGATAGAGAATTTTACGCTTACTGTCATCCAATCAGAACCATTGATACAAAATAATTGCATTAGAATTCGTTTTAACGCTAGCAAGTGCTATATCATGTCAATTTGTCGTAGCAGGTCCCCCGCTGACACACATTTATTGTCTCAGAACAAGCCAATAAAAATCCGTATTAAGGAGTAATCATAAGCGATAATTTAAAATGGTCATCTCACATTAATAAAATCTGCAATAAAGCAAACTCTACATCGTGATTTATTAGAAGGAACCTTATTCACTGCAACACACATTAAAAAGAAACTGTCTTCATTTCTCTTGTTCGATCAGTTCTGGATTACTCATGCACTGTATGGGAACCATATATTCACAGAAAGATATGAACCGTATAGAGAGCGTACAATGAAGAGCGGCTAGGTTCGTATGAAAAAACTATAGGCCTACAAGTAGTGTCACCTCCATGGTGAAGGACCCTGCATGGAAACTGCTTGTGGAAAGGAGGCAAGACGCGTCCTGTACTACTGTACAAAAAAGTGAACGACCTGGTAGCCATCCCCACTGAACATCATATGACCATCAAGAACTTCAAACCCAAAGCAACTGAAAATTGTATCAGCAAATATTGATATTTACAATTTTTTTTTGTTTCACAATATATAAACACACAATATATGTCAAACAGTGCAATAAATTGTGAGATTAAAAGGTAGTTATCTCGCACGACTAGTTGAGACAGTGGCGCACAAACACACATCCTGGACAAGTTTTACTCAGCAATTTTGAGTTCATTTCCAGTATTACAGATACAGAATATACCATGTGGATGTTGCTCATTGTTGACCATTGAAAGCCGCACGGTGACAGATATAGCTTATATCCACGTGCTTTGCATTTTCGAGATAGTTGTCTAATTGTCATTCATACCACATCTCCTTATTTTTTATTTTCATAGTTATTGTCAGTGGAGGATCCAGGATAGGGCGTATGCACCCTCCCCTTTTGATCCCCTTTTGATCGCCAAATAAGTTATACACTGTCCACACTATAGGAACTTTTTTTGTACGACAACGAAAATCAAAGGACGATAACTGTGTTCTTGGACCAATTCAATTCCCTCTCCTGCAATAGTAATATTAGACACATTTGATACCTCAACCGTTTACATATAAAAATAGATTGAAAAAATGTTCCCTATTTTTGTTCGACATTTTTATGGGAACCCAACTGTTCCCTCTGCTCGCCTATTTGTTCCTTAATTCGACAGAGGTACATTTCTGCCGCTCAGTAAAATGAAAAAATGCCTTTAACTTCATGTTCTGTTATAAAGATGATCTCATCTCACTCAATAATTTATATTGTTAAAACTTACTTCTTGATTTTCAAAAAAGGTTCTGAAGTATTTTTTGTGCTGATTTCTGTTCTTCGACTATAAAAAAAACCAACTTACGATTAAGCAGAACAACACATTATACTTAATTGTCCTTTAGCACATAATCCATGGCACTTGGGGACATACAACAGCTAATAAAACAAACTATCGTCACAAAGAAGGGTATTGACCGAGACATTTTAAAGCTCTTAAAATTTGCATTTGAGTCCCCCACCTATTGTTTGCAACTATTTTCCCATCCAAGAGGTCCTATAGGCTATATATGGACCGGCTGATGTTTAATAGAAAAACAGAAACAATATAAATAAACACATCGAGTATATTATTTACATGTATTACAATATCTTTGTCAATACTATTAACTGCTATCGGAACTTTGAAACGTTGTCGATACTGTAAACGCTTGTCAGAACTTCTAAATGTTGTCGATACTGAAAACGCTTGTCAGAACTTTTAACTTCTGTCGATACTGTAAACGGAGGTCAAAACTTTTAACTGCTGTCGATATAGTAAACGCTTGTCAGCAGAACTTTTAACTGCTGTCGATACTGTTAACGGTTGTCAGAATTTTTAATTGCTGTCGATACCGTTAACATTTGTCAGAACTTTATACTGCTGTCAATACCGTAAACGCTTGTCAAAACTTTATACTGCTGTCGATTGTGTAAACGCTTGTCGGAACTTTTAACTGCTGTCGATATCGTAAACGCTTGTCAGAACTTTATACTGCTGTTGATTGTATGATACAAACAATAACCTTAGAATATCGAAAAATATATAATTCATTTGGACTATCTACGAAACAAAATTCTCGTACACATGAACTTGGTCTTTTTCTATAATATTTTGTATATGAATACTTTTGAGAAATCTAATATGTAGCTTTCATTGAAAAATTTATTAAGCTTCACGTAATTTCTATGGATTGTGTTGAATTTGTAGCACAGAGAATAGATATTGTCATTGATGAAAGCAATATAATAATACTTGTTGTAGTAAAAAAATTAACGTTTTATGAAGCAAATAATATATATCCACTATTATTGATTTGAAATTGCATGATACTTGGGATAACTTCTCCAAGCTTAGTACATATCAATACCTAACCCATGTGACGAAGATTTCCTCGGGCTTTATTGGTCCGTGGTTCAATACCAATTATATAGTGTTTACTATAAAGTGCTGTAATATCAGTCATTAGCACGATACCACCTGTGACAAAGAAACAGTTAGCTTAAGATGACAGGGATACAGTAGAATACAACAGATAGTTTTTCAACTGGAATAGAGTCTCAGTAAAAACAGTAAGACAGGTACACAGTCTATAGAAAACATTTTTATCAGGTAAGACATGTGTATATTACCTTATTTCGTTTGATATACGACTTGAAGAAATGCAAGCAACTATAAGATTTAAAAATTGAAGAATAGATAAACAATACGGTACTGATTAAAGAGCACACGACAAGCACGTGTTTGTAGATTAAATTTTGTATTATTTTTGCACATTTTACTCTCTGTTATTCTTAATGTTTTTCGCCCATTGCTCTCTATCCTATATACCACTTTCAGACACTCAAAATATTATAGAACCGATATGGATAAAAACATTCTAGGCATCATAACCAAACAGAAGCCAGAACAAGTATACTGTGCAAGGTTTTTTTTTCGGATGATGCTACTCTTTGATTTCAAAATTGAAAGGCGTCCTTGAAATGCAATCATATATTTTACGTTGTTAAACTGTTTACGCTATTCATTTTCAATTATCAAAAATATTGTATACCTAATCAAAATTTTGAAAAGTTTTGCAACCATCTTAAACTTACAAGTTCCAGTATCATAAAGGTGTTGCTTCAAAGTTGACTAATCCTCAAACTGGAAGTCCCTTGTGCCGAGTTTAAACCTGTTCCTGTCAACAATTTTAATTTTACAAGTTTCCGTATCATAGGGTGTTGATTAAGTAGACAATACTAACACTCAAACCGGAAGTCCTTCACGCAGAGTTCAATTCTGTTCCGGTCAGATTTTAATCATTTCAATTATGAATAATCAGTATGTATGTTAAATTGCATGTGATGTATGAAGGTGTTATGGAATTTGTGCTTTGTATTGATTTAAATGCTCTAAATGGCAAGGGTGCCAGCGTACTTTTACGTACAGAAATTAAGCCTTATCCATTATATTTCATATCATATAAAATAATGCTAGATTAAATGACATTAAATTTAGAAACAACAACAAAATTGATTTATTAAGAAGCATTCGAAGAGGATAACACAATTGTATATACAGAATATCTCTTTCTGGCTGCAATCATTATATGAACTTAAAAGTTACTTAATCTGGATTCACTTCAAGCATAGATGTATAAACCGATATGAGTTTATACATCTATGATTCAAGTATCATATACTGTGTTTGAGGATTCACTAAAAAAACAAACTTTTACAGATGCAAAATATTAAATCAACTTGAGCATATTAAATATAATAATTATAAAACAGTAATTAGGACTAAAGAATGTTTATAACATTTTGATATGAGTACTACATAATCTAAAATCGTGCATGTAACTGAGATTGAACAATCCTGTACGGAAATCACTGTGTAACATATCGGTAAAACTCACGGCGATAGAAACTCATTTAAAAAAGATGTTCGCTACTCTGTTTCAAAATAACAAGCTTCTAAAAGACTATTATGAATTGAAAGAATATAAATAAAGGAACTAAAAAAGCAGAAAAAAATGAAGGGCCCCTGTGCTTGTTTTCGAGATATAAGCCATTGGAAATTTGGCGGGAAAAGATTCTCTCTAGATTTTTCATACAGTTAATATCGGCACCTTTTTTCTTTCAAAAACTATGAAAAAATAGCAAGGATTTCATTAGATTTTCAAATATAGCTTTTTAAACTATATGTAACAAAACTATGAAAAGAAAAATAGGGGTTAGCGGGCAAAATGTTTTAAGGGCATTAAATGGATAAAACCAGAGGATTCCTAATATCTGGCAAACATTCAAAAACAAGAGGAGTGAACATCCTTAACTTAACTGAAACAGATTAAACCAAAGTAGAATAAAACATTAGCATGACCAAAGCGAGAAACATCAAATGTTAGTGAGAAATCTAAATCTTTATCAAAACAATTGTCATCGTTGTAGTTGTCGTTGGTTCATAGATATCAGAAGATGTGGTATGAGTGCCAATGAGACAACTCTCCATCCAAGTCACAATTTATAAAAGTAAACCATTATAGGTCAAAGTACGGTATTCAAAACGGAGCCTTGGCTCACACCGCACAGCAAGCTATAAAGGGCCCCAAAAATTACTAGTGTAAAACCATTCAAACGGGAAAACCAACGGTCTAATCTATATAAAAAAACGTGAAACGAGAAACACTTATGGTAGATCATAGGTATATATTTCTTGAGATAGAATTTTCTTATACTTTGCCAAAATGAAGATGTTACTATGCTTTTTTCAAAAATATAATAAAAAGTATGGGTCACCGTGCTATTTTCCAAGCTATGAGTCGTTGAAAATTGCCTAAATTTGGTTAGATTGTTCATGAAAAAACACATTTGTGTGCATAAAAAAAAATCTATGAGATAGAATTTTGAAATAAATTGTGAGAAGATAGGTTTTATAATATGTTTCAAGAAAATAAAAAGAAAAAATGGTGTCACCGAACTTGTTTTCTTGCTACAAGTAAAAATTAAAAATTTCCCTATCAGTCCAGTATATATTTTTTACTAAAAGAGTTATCTTCCCTGAAATGGCTTATTTGAAAAAATTGATTCTAAAAACACAAAATTTGATATTTGTTTAAACATTTTGAGTTATACAATAAATCACCAATTTTTATTTACATAAATAAACAGTCTAACCAATAAATTGTAAATCTGTCTCCAAATTTGCAGATTTATGAAAATAACTAGACCGATTTTGTACTGGGAATGTACAATCCAAGATGGCGGTATACCATGAATCTACCTTATGGACCACATCAACAAACGACAACTACTGAACATCATATTCCATGTCTGTCATATTTGTTTTTCGTAAATAGGTTTTTTTTTTATATAAATTAGGCCGTTAGTTTTTCTCAATTGAATTGTTTCATATTTTTCATGTCGGGGCCTTTTATAGTCAACTATTCTATATGGGTTTTTCTCATTGTTGAAGGCCGCACAGTTGTCTATAATTAATTACATCCACTTTATTTGAACTTTGATGGATAGTTGTCTCATTGGCAATCATACCTCATCCCCTTATTTTTATATCATATAAAAAATGCCGAAAGTGGAAGATGTTCAAAGCTTTGCCCACAGTAGTAGAGGTGCATTTTGTTTTTTTGTTTAGTCAGTCTGTCCGTCCGTTAATCCGTACGTCCGTTTTAGTCCGTATTCCACTGTATTTAGTATGCTTGAATACATGTATGAAAAAAAAACTTAAAATACAAACTAAGTCAAGCTATGTGAACCATGATTGATCCTCATATATATGTACCTACTATTCAAGCTCGTCACACTTATTCTTGCTTTAAAAAAAACCATCAATACCTGACTTACATAAAGAACTAGACATACCGGATTATTGAAGTCGCACGATTTTCATAAAGCGATATTTGAAAAACATGAACGGTTTTTTGGGGATTTTTTTCTTCGTGAAAAAATTCTTTCTATCCATACTCACACTTAAATCAGTAAAAACATGTTGCATTTCTATATTGAAAAACAGCAATAAAATTCCTGAATCAGGCCATAAGAGAGGGTGGTAAAGGGTTATTTTCGTGCAACGTGTTTTGTGTTTTGCCATTTTTATTTCACGTGCAGCCGTGAAAAAGGTTCGTTATTCACCGTGTTTCGTGAAATCGGTAAAAAGATCAACGTGCAAGAAATTTTTAATTGTTCGTTCATCGTGAAATGGCAACTTTATTTCGCGTTCTTCCGTGCAGATACACCCCCCCCTCCCTTTACGCCCCTCATAAGAACATGTATTGCAGGCATTTATACGCGAACGTGCTGTTGCTAGACAATTTCACATCAGAAACTCTTATTACTGTCTTTATAACAACGGTCCTTTCAAACGGGATTTGTTGGTGACTACCCATGACCAGATCAATATGAAGTGACAATGCCACGTCAATAAAATTTGATTACGTAACGTCATTTGCGAGACATGTTACTGGCCGCAACGTCAACTGCTAATCAAGTCGTTGAATGCCGTGGCAGACAGATTCACGCCATAAATATTTCCCATATACTGAAATTTCAAAGAATCGACTGCAGACAAACATTTAAGCCCTTATAAAGTTAAACACGCATAATTGGCAAAACACACTGTAATGGGTGGGACAGAGGCCAAATCAGAAGGTAAAAAATAGAACTCAAAACATGCCCAACAGAACTGGTTGACTTTTATGGCAATCATTTAGGCATTGGTTACAGGCAGTCATTGCCTTCGACGGTGACACATTCGTTCATAGGGTGAGGAAGGTTCCAGGGTTTTAGTGCATACAACATGATTTGAACAATAATCATGACGTAATTAATTCAACTTTCGAACTGCAAACTTATTTAGACAACGAAGAAATGAATGAAATTTATGCTTATACATTTATTTTACAAGAATTGTATATTTGAAAATGAGAATTATAAAAAATAAAATAGTGTTGCGTTTTTAAAGTCCGTCAATATGAATCCAAAGGTTGTGTGAGACCTTTCCGTGCAGCTAAGATTAAAATAAAGTAGTAAAAGGTACTCGTAAGCTTTTAATACATTTATTGAACCCTTGAAGACGTATATATGATTTCCAACGGATAATTGAATATCAAATTATATATTTATTTTCCATGCTCAGCATTATCACATAGGTATCTCATAAATGGAGAAATAAGTCATAAAATGCAACCTGTTCAAAGTCACGTCATTAAATCCTTCTACCATTCTGCTATATTAGGTGATGTAAGAATTTATTGATATAACACAGTTCCATTAAAAGTCTTCAAACAATGTGACACTAAGGTTTGATTATTAATAATTCATTACACTGCTGACACAGAGCTTTGATCATCTAATTAAGCGTGAAGTTTTGTATACGTAACCTTGATGATACAAAAAATAAAATATTGGAATTTGGTACAAATTAAATGTGACACTGCTATGAACAAAAAACTCTAAAACAGAGAGAAAAGGTAAACAATACAGGTAAGATACATTGTCAGTGGTTGTCGTTACCTGTTATATGTCCTTCAAGGAATTCTGTCCTGATGATTGATTGGTGATTGCTTTACGCCGCATCATCACAAAAATGCTATATCTTCTTGGCGAACCGTTCTC